CTTCCATTTTCAAGGTTGAGTAAATTCTTTGTCCCCTATTAAGTTCCTTGAATCCATCCTTTGTGATTCCATTTCTGAAGACAATTATTTTTCGCATAATATATTTTTATTCTAGAATATACTTTAATTCTTTCTTATTATTTTCATTTCTTTACTGAGAAGTATCATTTTATAGCATTTATGTTTTTATGTCTTTTATTTGCCCATTTTCATATTTGACTCGTGTCTAAATAGGTTTATCTTTTAAAAGAACTTCTTAAACTTTAACTTTGTGTATGTGTCCGTGTATGGGTATTTGCACAGGAGTGCAGATACCTAAAGAGGCCAGAGGAATTAGATGCCCTGGACCTGGAGTTATTGGCATTTGTGATCTACCCAACCTAGTTTTTGGGCACCAAACTCTGGTGTTCCGCAAGAGCAGTTTCTGATTTTAACTTCTGGGTCATCTTTTCAGCTCCTGTTGTCTTTCCCTTTGATAATAGATCATGTTTTCTTGTTTCTTCATACTTCAAACAACTTGTCTCCTAGACATTCTTATGCATTCTGTCACACAATCCCAAAGTGAATTATTTGTTTCTTGTAGCATTTAATGTGGTTAATCTTAAACTGCAATTCTGTCTCTGGGACATGCACTCCAAACTCTGTTTACAACTTTTAGGTTTTCCTGAGACTCTTTGAGTCTCTGCTATGAATGTGTAAATTGGAAGGCAGGACAGAAGTGACAAAGTTTATGCATAAAGTTGAGACTCTCTTGGTTCTCTCTTTTATGGAGTGTCTCTAATGTTTCCTAATGGTTGTGATGATCTTAAAGCATTTAAGATTTCAAATTAGAAAGTCTGAAGATGTTTCTTCTCAAGTTTACAGAGCCTGGAATAGCACAGGATGTCTCTCTTTAGGATAGAGTTTATAAAATAAACCCACATGCACACACGCAAATATAGACACATGAAAGATGGAGTCATAGCTGAAGTGACAGGTCAATGGGTAAAATATTTGCTGTACAAACACGAAGACCTGCGTTCAGTCACCAGCACTGACATACAAAGTCAGGGCTGCAGAAAGTGCCTATCACTGGGGTAGAGATAAAAAGATCACTGGGGTATTCTGGCTACATTTAGCAGTTTAACTAAACTAGTGAGTTCTGGGTTCTGTGAGAGACTTAAAATATATGTTAGAGAAAATTTGAGGAAGACACCTGACATTGACCTCTGGCCTCCACATATGCACATAAACATACACACACACACACACACACACACACCACATATACACACACACATACACACACTTGTGCATCCTCACATACACATGCATACACACTAAAATACATACTTCGTCAGTCCTGTGTGTCTCTCTCCATAGATATGTATGTATATAAATTAGTTATAATAAATCAATATTAACTTATTAATATAATATTAAATTAATAATAATTTGATATACATTATATATACACACATATCTGCAAGAGAGAATAGAATCACCTGGTGCAGGTGCAATTGTTACTTCATTTATTTCAGATAGGGGTCCACTTTGCATCAGCATTTGATTGTTCTCCACAGTTTCTGAGAGTTTGTAAAGGGTCTACCACTGCCATCTAAAGGAAAGTTAATTGGGAATGTTCTGTTTTAGCGACTGCTTGAGCTGGTCCTTAAAGCTAAATCATTTTTCAGATGTAGTCACTCAACTGTAGTTATAGCATGTTAGATACTAAAGCAGGAGCACCGCCAGGGTTTGGGGGTCAGGCTAGGCAGTAAAGAATATTCCACCTAACCAAACAAACCAAGCCCGTGCTACATCATTTTAATATAAAAATTATTTTAAAAAACACAATAAAATGATTAACCAACTTTTACATAAGTTAGAGTGAGGTGTTGGTTACCTATTGGAGGGGGACATCTGAAAAAAGCTCTAGCCAGACCAGCTCCATCTTGAAGCTGGGCCACTAACATTATAAACTTGCTTTTCTCTGCAAATTACAACACGGTCCAGAAATTATTTTTTACCTTGTTTCAAATTTCATCACATCTCTGTCCTGAAAAAAAACATATAAGCTCATAGAAATCATAGATTTACTTTTAAACACATAAAAAAACAGAGAATTTTCCATCTCATTCTTTGTGCCTCTTCTGGCTTTTCTTCATTCTGCAGCATAATGTAAACTGATTACAGGTAGATTTGGTTTTCATGCATAGAGGATCTCTTTTCCAAAAATACTGTGTGCATAACCTTTGAAACAGTGATGATAACCACTTATATGTTTTAAATACTAGACAATCTAAGCTGTATATGGTTATACAGGCCTGTAAACCCAGCACTTAGGAGGCTGAGGCAGGGAGTGTTGAGCATTTGAGACCTGTGTTACCTGCTGGAATATAATCTTAAAACTATTTTCAAATAAAAATAAAATGTAGACAATTTACAATGTATGTTGAAGATATAACATGATATTGTAGAATAATAGAAGAAATGGGCAAACGTTCCAACAACTTACCTAGCTACTGTTCATTTTGCTTTTGTGAAAAGAATAGCTGAATTCTAATCTCTTCAAGGGAATTCTATACACTATACAATTTTGGTACCTATAGTCTTCACATTGAAATTTAACTTAGATCTCTCTTACCTGTTCGTCCTCCACATGAGCTGCTCCGTATCCTCTGACCTATTTCTAAAGAGGTTTCCTCTTTTGGATTATGTATTAAAACTAGCAGGAAATGTATGTCTTTGAAAATTTGCCTATGACCCTAAGCCACGCTTCTGTCATCTGCCTCCGATCCACTTTTCAAGGGAACCTCATTTCTACCAGGGAAAGTCTTTATAGTGAGGAGATGAAAGAGAGAGCGGAACTTTCATTTGAGTTGCTTACTTGGAAAACAGAAAGTGAAGACAGCATTTAATCAATCATGCAATTTTGTGTGTTCTCACTCAGAATAAGTTACCTTTTTTTTTTTATATCCCTTTGAGAAGAAAATGTTGGACCCTGGATTAGCAAAAGCAACAAAATCAAATTCAGTACAATTTTTAGAACTCCCGCAGAGCCTTTTTTACTTCTGAAGTGTTTCTGACCTGCAGATTGCAACTGCTGTGTAAATCATTTGCCCTTTGTTCTGTGGGTTCCATTGGAAAGGATGTCTTTTGTCCGTTTTGGAATTACTTAGGTTATGCTTTTGCTTTGGGCTACGCTAAACTCAGGTTAAATACCATGTCACAGAGGGAAATTCAAGTCAAAATCAAGACAACATTTCTCTAATGCAGTCTTCAGTGAACCCAACATGGACCGGGCACTGGTTTTACTGTGATACATTGACAGCTGTAAAGTGTATTTTTAAGAGACTTCCATAACTTATGTGGGCAGGTATATTTTTCATTTACTTTCTGACCAATTTTTCAGTTTTGACTCAGTCTCAAATATTATTTTAATATACTAATCTGTGTGTTTTTCTTTAGTCCTGGCAAAGTTCTTTGAAAATATAGCTGAATATTTAAATTATAAATACAAAAGCATTAAGCATTTTGATGATAATGGCCATAAAAAACTGAGAAAAAATTCATCTTTCTTAAATTTAACAACTTAAAATGTGCAAAGGTGAATAATAAAATTTATTTTATAAATTATAATTGCCTTAATTTCATTTCTGTGGTAGCTTAGCATGACTATCAGATAAAATATATTTGAAAGGCAAAGAAAGCATTTGTTAAACTTGTGTAAATATGTTAGAGCAGTTTCTCATTTATATATCACCTTTACTAGCAGTGAGTTTCTCCATATCTTGATTCTATATCATCATCACATTACTAAGTTATCTGTCTACAACTATTATTGATAATTTTGTATCAGCATTTTAAAATATTTTACTGTTAATTTAGCCTCATATTATAATAACATCTGATGAACTTTTATATTTTAAAAATATAGGCGTGATTGTTTCATTTAGAGACCTTTTGAAAGAAAAATTTGTTCATTGACAACTTTGGACCATGCATTCTTTTAATCTTTAATTTTTATTTTAAATTTTATGTGCGTGTGTGTTTTGCCTGCATGTATGTCTGTGAAGCAAATGCATGCCTGGTGTTTGCAGAGACCAGAAGAAGGGTCATGTGCCCCAGAACTGAAGTTAGCCACCATGGAGTTGCTGTGAATAGAAGCTGAGTTCTCTGCAAGAGCAGCCACTGCTCTAAACCACCTAGCCATTACTCTAGCTCTGCACATTTTTGTTTTGTTTTGTTCAAGACAGAGATTTTCTGTGTAGTTTTGGTGGCTGTCCTGGAGCTTGCCCTATAGATCAGGCTGGCCTCAAACTCACAGAGATCTGCCTGGCTCCTCCCCCCCCCCCCACCTCCCCCGCGAGTGCTGGGATTAAAGGTGTGCACCACTGATGCCGGGCTAGCCATGCAATTTTAATTACTCTCAGATTCCTCTGCATTCTGTTGTCCCTCCCACCCTAGTTAAACCTTCCTTCCTTCCTATAATACCCTTTCCCATATTCATGTAATTTTTGTTTTGATTCGAGTTTTTACCAAGAGTAATCTGAGAGACTATGGATTTGAAATTACCTATTAAGATTTGTGAATTTTCTGTACTCACTAGTAGACACACAACTCAAGGCAAAGACATCCCTTCTTCCTGAATCTATCAGCAACCAACAGATGAGCAAGGAGAGGGAGGGCCGATGAGCCCCTCCCCTATCCATGATTGATTGTTGACAGGACCCACTGACACTGCTGTGAGTTAAAAATTGCAATGCTTCTAAGACATCCACAAGGGCCAGTTCATCAGCTAGAGACTTTCCCAGAATGCTGATAGCACATGCCATTCCAACTTGTCCAACACCTACTACAGTAATCTTATTGTTCGGGGTGGCTGCCTCCTCTTCTGCGACTGGGGCAATGAGCTTTTCCTTAAGGGTTGCCATGTTGCCCGGACAAGAGGAGGCTTTGCAGCACGCCGAGGAAGGGAAACCTCCACAAAGTCAGCAGACTGCACAGGCGACTCTAGATCTGCATCAGAAATGGGAACGGACAATGACAGTGAGAACTGGAAGGAAGTGCATAAGATGGTGGTGGATAGTGCCTATGAAGTCATCAAGCTAAAAGGATACACCAACTGGGCCATTGGGTTGAGTGTGGCTGACCTCATCGAATCCATGTTGAAAAACCTGTCTCGGATCCACCCTGTGTCTACAATGGTGAAGGGGATGTACGGCATTGAAAACGAAGTCTTCCTCAGTCTCCCATGCATCCTCAATGTCCGGGGACTGACCAGTGTCATCAACCAGAAGCTGAAGGATGATGAGGTTGCTCAGCTCAGAAAGAGTGCGGACACCCTGTGGGACATCCAGAAGGACCTCAAGGACCTGTGACTGTCCGGTTCTAGGCTGTAGAATTCAACCTCCAATGTCACTAATCATGAGCCTTTAGTCTTCGGCCTTGTACATAGGTCACAGTTTGCTTCTCCCCTGACATGTGACATGAGGTCACAGATCAAAGCTCCGGCTCGTTGGATGTTTGCACTAGGAGCTCTTGAACAAATAAAGTTAACTGTTGTTGCAGCATAAAAAAAAAAAAATTGCAATGCTGTGTCATGCCAAGAAGATGGCGTTTTGCAGCCCTTTTTCTACCTTCTAGTTCTAAAGTGTTCCCTAACATGTAAAGGAAGTGGTGTAAATGTTTTATTTTAGTATGAGCATTCACTCTTCACTTATTCTCAGCACCATGAGCAACTTTGGTTCTATGCATGCATTGCCTTCCCTAAAAAGGAGACTACTCTAATTAAGGCTGTGGGTATCATTTGTCTATGAGTCTAGATACTGATGTGTCGGTTTGATGCCATATAAGTTTAACTCAAGTTCTTCCGTAAGGCTTATGACATTTTCCCCATTGACCAAGTTTACAGTACAATATGGTGATATTTTATTTGTATTAAAATGTTATTTGTATGTTAATAAATAAAGTTGCCCGGGGGTCAGAGCTATTAGCAAGCCATAGGAAAACAGGGCAGTGGTAGCGTACGCTTGTAATTCCAGCACTTGGTAGGCAGAGCTGGGTAAGTCTCTGTGTGTTCAGGGATACAGCCATTATTGGATACACATGCCTTTAATCTTAATACCAATCATGGAAAACCTGGAGGCCTATACAGACAGGCCATGAGGAGGCGGTCATGTGGTTGGGTTTACAACCAATGAGAAGGCAGGACAGGAACTCTATATAAAGACTTTAACACAGGGGTAGCTCTGGTTCGGAGAGGTAGGTCCACCGCAGGAGGAAGGGTAAGGTTTTAGCTCTTAGCTCTGACCTCTTGGCTTTCTTCTTTGCATTGGTTCTGTGTTTCTTATTTAATAAGAAGGTTGGATACATCTACAGTACAAGGCATGGGTTTTCATCTTGTGGAGCAGGCCTTGAATCCAATCTAAGTGTGGTTTGTTATTCCGATAAGGGTTGTGCCACTATTACAATAGTGGGTATATCTTACCTAGTGTGTTACTATTGAGGATATTAGGCACCATACCTGAATTTACTGTTGATGTTTTTATTTCCATGGCTGTCTGCACAAAAACTTCAAGTACATTAAAAGCTAGTAAACAAGGATGGAATTTCCAGCAGAGTTCCAGTTTGATTTCTCCAAACCTTGCAATCCAAGTGTGTGGTGTCTTACCATCTAGTTATGGTGGACAGCTCAGAAGAATGGCAAAAGCCTGTATTCTTTTGTACACTTCTTGGGCCTTTGTGATCAACAGTTCACACACATGTATTCTATACCTGGCCCTGGGATTTCTGTTTAGCAATTAATTTATAGTTTCTAAGAGTAGCAATTAAAATTATATTTTGTAATCAGATTACAAGAGAGTAAGTTTTTATGTGAATTTTTCATAAACACTTCACTCACATTTCCTTTGGCATGGTCAATACTCCCCAATTATGACATGTCAGTTCTCAAGACAGTGACCAAGTCTCCAACATAATTTTCAGCTCCTATTCTTTGAAATGAAGGAAAACCAAACAAAAATCACTCTTATTCATTGTCAACGGTATTTTGGAAAGTTAAAGAAAAGGGACAAAATTAATATATTTCTAGCAAATCAAGTACAAAGTACTGACTTAAGAGGAAAGAAGAATTTACTTCAGGTAGTAAGAATGAAAACTCCTGTGAAGAACGTGCTTGTCATGATTCAGGTTTTATTATGCCTATAGGATATATTCAAAAACCTTTTAGAAAATACGTTATTGTATTACCAGGCCAAATTAATGTTTTAGAAATTTGCTTCCAATATAACATATGGAAATGTTCATAAAACTACATTAACAAATAAACATAATCCAAGATTATAATAATCAATTGTAGTTATTTCAAATGTATACTTTGGCAAATTTTGCTATAAAATATACCTGTAAATCCATGAACAAATGAAAAAAGTAACATATTCCATTATGTCCAAAATTTTCCTTGGGGTCTTTAGTTAACCCTCTCTGGGTTACTTCTCCACACATCATACCATAGCCCCATACAAAATACAGTAACATGCATGGCATTACTTCTTTCTTTTTAATAGTCTTTGGTAATTGTGTGCTTCAAGAAAATTTTATCTTTCATCTATGGTCTCAGATTTGTTGTTTATATTCATTCATGACTTCCATGTAATTCTTTCAGTATCTACAGGATATTTAGTTAGATCTCTTCTTTTGTGCCATGTATTGGTATCTTGACAATTCTCTCTATATTTGTTTTCAAATTTATTATTCTTCACCCAAAATTTAAAAAAAAAAGATTTGACATAAAAGTAGATTGCATTGGTTTTAAAAGTTTTATTGTGTTTATGTTTTTTTAATTACTTCTCTTTATTATTTTGCTTTTCTCTCTTTTCTTTTCATTGAGGAGAGAAATGTTTTAGATTAATCTTCTTTAATATTTTCTTAATGTAGATGCAGAATCTATTGATTTGAAAACCTTTCTTTTTCATCTGTTTATGTCACTATGACTCACACTTCCTTAACTGTGTCTGAGAAATGTTCATATATTGTGTAGTTTTTATTCAGTTTAATATGCTATTTTATTTTGATGTCGTCCACAGCCCACAGATGATAAAATCTGCATAATTTCCTCATATCATTGGTTCTTCATTTCCAGATTAACTCTGTGGTCCTCCTGGCACACACTTTGAACATGACTGAATTACTTTGAATATACCGAAACGTGTCCATCATGTGAATTATGGAAGATATTTGTTAATGAATGTTCTCCATTTCAGTTTGTGGAGTTGTGTGGTATTTGGTTGCCTTCAAACAGGTCATGCTTTTCAACAGTGCCGCTGTTGGTTTGTATGCTGTAATAACCACCATGACCAAAGGCAAGTTGGAAGGGGTATGGTTTATTTAATCTTACACTTTCAGGTGACAGTCTACCACTGAGGAAGAGAGTGCAGAAACCCAAGCGGGGCGGGAACCTGTAGGCAGAAGTGAAGCAGAAGCCACAGAGGAATGAGGTTACTGACTTGCCTTATTTCTTATACAACCCTGGACCACCTACCCAGGAGTGGTGCTACCCACAGTGAGCTGGACCTTACATCATTGTCTTAGTTACTTTTCTATTGTTGTGGTAAAACACTATGACTAAGGTAACTTATAAAAGAGAGCCTTTGATTTTGCAGCTCACAGTTCCAGAGAGTGTGAGTCCATGACCATCATAGGACTGTATGGCAGCAGGTGGGCAAGCGTGACGTTGGAGCATTACCTGAGAGCTCACATCATGATCCACAAGCACGAGCATGAGGCAGTAAGACCTAACTGGAAATGGTACAGGCTGCTGAAACCTCAAAGCATACCTGAGGTGACAGACTCCTTCCAAAAATGCCGCACTTCCTAATCCTTCCCAAACCTACTGAGGAACAGCCGTTCAAATATATGAGCCTATGGAGGTCATTCTCAGTCAAACTATCACACATCAACCATTAAGAAAATACCACATTGATATATATGATATCTTATGGAGATATTTTCTCAAGTAAAATGCTGTTTTTCCAGATATGTCTAGATTTGTGTCAGGTTGACAAAAAACAACCAGGACATGTATTTTTCAGTTATCTAAGTCTTTTCTTATTTCCTTCTGGTATTTCGATAAGTAACTCTGAAAAAAAAATATTAAAATATTTTTTAATATTCTGAAAGGTATTGAGATTTTGAACAGTTAACTGAATATTTTTTTTATTTTTGACTAGGTTTTAGTTTCTACAAAAAATATATCATTCTCCATCTTTTGCTTTTAAGCATTTGCTTTTCATCTGTGTTTTTATGGTTTTAATATATTTGACTTGGATATCTTATATGTGACATATACTGAGTGTTGTTTTTCAGTGGTATTTCTGTCTTCAATTTGAGGTAGACAGGGCGTTTGTTTCTTGTATTATCACTGAAAGAGATGGATGGATAGCACCCCTACCATTCTTTATTTGTTTAATTTTGCTCTATGTCTTCCTTGTCATATTTTTCCTCCTTTTTTCTTTCTTTGTGATAGAGAATGTTCATGATTACTTTATCACTTTTGTTGTATTATCTATAATCTTTAATAATTTATATTAAGATATACAACTGCCTTGTGTATTACTACTTGTCTCGGGGATTATGGTTTTATTTGTTTTAATAATTAAAAACAGGATTCTCTTGATATCTTGGTTAGGAGACTAGGCTGTCGTGACTGAGCCATCTTGCCCGCCCTTACAGTAAGCTGCCACATTTCTTGGTTTGTTTGTTGTTATTTTTCTCTCTGTGGCTCTGCAACACTGTTCCCCTATGGACCCTATCTTATTTTCAGTAATGTGAGTCCCCCTTGCCTAGTGCAGTTTTCTTTAGGACGTTTTTCTTGTTTGTTTTGATTAGAGATGGTCTCACACAGCCCTGGCTGGCCCTAGACCTTACTATGCAGCTGAAAATGATCTCGAACCCGTGATCTTCCGGTTTCTACTTCCCAAGTGTTGAGATTACAAGCGTGGGCCACCACTCCTGGAATCAGCATGATTTTTGTTCATTTAGTTCATGTATCCCCTCTTTCTTAAGGCTCCCCATTACACTGTCAGTAGGCCACTTAACCGTGTGCAGTACCTTAACAGTTTATGCATCCATGTTTGTTGTTGATAGCTTTTGTTTCCTTAATTTCAAATTCAGTATTATTTTTCTAAAATGATCATGTGCATTGAATTGTTCATCTCAGATGTTCTGGTTTCCTTGCCTAGACTTTTGATTTTGATTTCTTTTATATTTCCTGTTTTGTTCCTCACCATATTCAATTTTCCTTTTAATTAATGAGTATATTGAATTATTTAATATCACTGCAGCTCCATCTGTAATTGATTAAAACTTGGATTAATTTTAACTTCACCATGGGTTACTTTTTTTCTGTTTAATTGCATTCATAATGATTTTGATTGTGATTTTTACCTGATTTAGTGTCCACACAGATCTATATATTTCTATAAACACTCATAAGCTTTGGGATGATGCTAAGTAAATTGGAGACAGTTTGCTTCTTTGGGAACTTTTTAAAGAATAGAACACAAAACAT